TATGACTGCCAGCATATTGAAAGCCAACTAGCCCTTGAATGCGCAGAGTTACGAAAATGTCTGATGTCGAAGACGACATCCAGCCTAATATCTTAACAACCACGTCAACTCCAACTGATTATGTCGTGCGAAACCAAGTCGGCCTCTACTCCCTTTCAATTAACCACTCTCACACTACAAATGAAACAAACGACCAGGATGCTGAAGAGCCTGAAACGAACCCAATGTGCAGGAAGAAAAAAGACCGGCCCACCTTCGCAACTACAATACTTCAATTTACCCCACTCATTTTTCCAGAATAATCGGGCACTTTCGAAAGGCAAAACGACACTCCGAATTAGAAACACAACTCCAACTCCTCTAAATGTATTTCAGCGTTTCTTCACCATGGGCATTATGGAAATAATCAGTAAGCACACAATTGCATATGCAGATATAAAAAGGTGCAAGCAACGAAAATACTCGAGAGTGACACGACATCACAGTTGTGGAAATAGTAATGTTCTTTGAGATAATACTCTACATGGGTTTGCATGGATAGTCCGCTGTCGAGGATTACTGGAGCAAAGATAAAAGGGGACCACACCACCGCATTTCTAAACGAATGAGCTTGCTCCAGTTTCAACAAATTAAACGGTACATTCACGTGTGTGATCCTCTCGGAGACAATGGAAGCTCATTTTCAGTAATAAGCTGGAGCCCCTTTTCAGTCACGTAAGAGACACTACAAAAGAAACTTTGGACTCCAGGCTGCCGTGTCTCTGTGGACGACATGATGGATACATGAATAGGGAGATCTGCAGAAACCGTGAGGGTCAAGAACAAATCTATCTGGAAAGGATTTTGTAGCATAATCGCGAAGGTGACTATTTACTGCTGGGGGCGGCTACTGTACACTCATGACACGTTTTACAGCGCGTGCGCGCGCGGCTGTAAGTACGAGCTTGCTGCTCGCTGTGTACGTGTACAGCGGGGCGATCCGGAATAACGCGCGCGAGCTTACCGTGTAAGCCACTAGATAGATACTGTAGTATGTTATGATAGATTATTTACTTCTATATTAAACGACAGGGCGATTGGCGGCGGAGGGAGGACAAGGACAAGCACGGGCTTGGTACCAGATCCTCCGCCGAAGGCCTAACCCCATCTGCTTATTCTTAACGTTCTCTTAACGCGAGCGCGTTAACTAGAAACTAACGCGGGTAGCGGTCGCAAACGTACGCGCGCGAGCCAGGATCCGCCTCCGCCCGTCGGTGCTAGAACGTTAACTAGCGCCGCCCCGGGGCGTCGAGCGCGTCGAACCGCTCTTCCGTGTACTGTGTTCGTGTCCGCTCCCCACCGCTCTACCACGCTACCACCGCCCGCGTTCTTTTCTGGTGTGTGTGTTTTTGTCCTTTCTCGCGTTCACAGGTCTTCGAAGAACCACAGCTAAACCCCCAACGCAACTGGGGTTTATGCTACAGATTTAAGATATGGTCACTATGTGAACAAGGTTTTGTTTTTGATTTTTTCTCATTCGAAAAGGTTCAAATGGAAGGGCCTAGAGCAATATTGTGGAACATTGATGTAATCTTCGGCAGTGGTTTCTACACTATCAGAGAGTTTGTCCAGGGGCGATGTGCATTCAAAAAAGACGTATCAATATACATTGATAATCTATTCTCGAGCGTAGCGGTGTTCAAAATGTTAATAGGGCAACGGGTTGGATGCATTGGAAGCACAAGGTCTAAAACTTGTGGGGATTCAGCTGTTCTAAACGTAAGAGGCTGTGAAAGTGAAAAATGTAGTAGGATACAATCGGGTCTGTTGTCGTCAACGGAGTCAAGTGCATATGTTGGATTGATAACGGGGCAGTTTTATTGCCTTCATCTGTACACAAGGTGGGCTCAGACCAACCAGTTGTTCATATGAGGAGAAGACCAAGGCTCACTTCAACAAATGGTAGGAAGGTTTGAAGCGTTTTTGGTGAACTTTCAACAAAAGAACTCCCAACGCCCCTTGCTATTGATGAATACAATGCCAATATGAACGGTGTTGACATTGCCGATCAGTTACGTTCAAACTATTGCACCCATGTGCGTGGAAGGAGAACGGGGCTACCAATGCTTTACTGGCTTTTAGACACAAGTGTGACAAACCCATTCATAATACTCTGTTATCTAGTTGGGCAGGAGTGGTTAAAGGATGGTGCTCACAAGAAATTTGGGGAAGACTTATGCTAGTCTTTAATCGAACTGGCATGTCGCATAAAAGAACAGACTGCAGTGGTGCAAAGTAAAGTGTGGGGTAATCGGAACCCTAAGAAGACAAGGCGTACAAGTTATTCTGTCACAACCAGGTCTTTACGTTTGTCGAGACTTGTTTTACACATTCCTCGGAGTGTATCGAAAGCAAATGACCGACAGAGGTGTGCGCGTTGTGCATTACTCTTCCAAAAGGAAGGGAAGCCGACAAACAGAGCCCCTCAATCTTACATATTTTGCTCTGGTTGTGGGGAAGATTGTTTCTTGTGCATCACAAAATACCGGAACTGTTTTGAGAAATTTCACATCGTGCAAGATATATCCACTCTTGGGTGACTGACACTTGCTGACACAGGTGATGACGGCTAGCAGTGATGACAGTCTCTTTACTCTTTATGCAAAAGATTGCGCTGCAGCCACTGAAACCACTCTCGAAGCTTAAATATGAAGCAAATTGTCAGTTAATTAACAACTGTGGTCCTTACTTAGAAATTATGCTAAAATCAAGGCGTCAACATTTTTGCACCGGGCCATTTCAGTGCCCACATTTGTGCACTACAGTATTGCCTGCATGAGAGGGATAAGGAATTCCTCACGAAATTCCACACCTATCAAGCTATTAGGCCTTACAGTGTAACAGCTGTAAAGGGTGGGGGGTTCGCGGTCTTTGCAGTGTAGCAAGCCTGCCACACTGGGTGCATCCAGAAATTGCCACTCCATCACTCCAATACAGTATGATAAATGTCGAAAAATGCAACTATGCCACCACTGCGCTACTCAGCCCGCCAAACCTGAGCGCGGCTGCCGTATTCCGTCTTACACCATTTCCCCGCCTTCTCGCTTTCCTTGACTTCAACACATGCCAACATCATGCCAAACACCACTCCTCTCCCAATTATTGCGACGTTGTTCGCGCCCATGGCTTCCCGTCAAGTCCCATCTGGTGCCGAGGTCATCCTTGACCTCGTCGATCAAGATTTACACGTTGTAACCCCGCCCCCGACCCCCGCCACGCCCAACCCAGTCACACCAACCGCAGCCACGGGACCCCCGAGACCCACACATGCCACATCCACCCCGCCGCCAACATTCCGCACACGGTTTGCCACCTCAAAGCATGCCGCACCAGCCCGCGCCCCGACGAATGCAAGGTCGCACTAGCCCCAATCCCTACGGATGTCCCACCAGGCCTCCATTCTGCCGATTGTTTTCGAGAAGAGCTGCTGAAAGCTTCATTTCGGCAAATGTAGGCCAGCGGATTGCAAAATCAGTTCGCTCTTGTTTGCGAACAACGCGCATCAGCACCTCTAAGCTGTAGTCTAACCATACACTTACGCTGGAGGATACAATTCCAAAAATAGGGCACATATTGTAGACTGTTCCTTTTGTTTTAATGTACCATAACGCCAGACCGAGCAAATCAATGCTGTTAAGGAAAGGCTTACGTCCTCTCGTCTTTACACCGTTTCTGTATGGGCTCCCAAAATTGAACCCAACGCGCTCAGACTCAAAGAATGGCATAGTACGCTGTAAAATGATGGCCTTTGTGAAGTTTGTCGCGAGGAGAAAGTCATCGTCGATGCCGCATGACAAAATTTGATTCCATGCCGTTGTCAGCCTGGTGTACACCTGTCGGATCAATGCCGCTCGGCGATACTGAGGGGGCTTTCGGGATCTTCGTTTTCTCCCGTTTATCCTTCTCCTTCGAAGAACCCTCCATGTGAGGGAAACAGCAGCAACAGATGCTGCTGCTGTTGCGAGCACTGCGAGTTCTTCGAGAGCTTGTGTGCGTTTTGGGCTGGCCATCATAGGATATGGGCAATTTTGGGTCGTCCGTGTTGATCCTGAGAGCAGGAAGGGGATCAACTCCCCACAAAATGTTATCATATTGCAGAGTGGCGGAGTGCAAGGACCCCTCGGGGGTCCTTGCACTTCAGCAGAAGTGGTGGGGCGCCCACTACATTTCCAGCCCAGCGGAGGCCTGTGATTGGCCAAAAAGTGTCGCAGTGTTGGAGTGGCAATTTCTGGATGCACCCACTGCAAAGACCGCGATCCTTTCCACGCCTACACGTGTCAGGGACCCCGTAATCTCGCTCCGTCGCGCTTCCCCCGCATCTGCGTTCCGTGACCTCAATTCGCACGCCCGCCACCTTCCAATCTCCCTCCCCATTCCGCAATCTCCGCCCCCGTCAAGCGCTCGATTCCCCGCTCCCCTCCGCGCGCCCGATCGCCCGCGCTCCGCTTGCCCCATCCCCCCCACACGAAAATGGCCTGCTCCGCCTTCGCCCCGTCGCTGTGGACGCCCGGCCGCTCCGCGCAGACCCTTCGATCGCCGGCATCCACGCGGACATCGCCACGCACGTATCGGGCAGCAGGCGCCCCGTCTGCAAGGCCTCGCGTGCAGCGCCCGCAGATGATAGCACCTCCTCCGGTTGCCGCTTCGCTCCCTCTCCTTGTATCGCGTCTGATCGCTACCAGCGCTGATATCGGCCCCTTCACAAACGTCAACATCGAAAGCGCCGGCCTCGTCGCCGCCATCGCCGGGGGCAGTCTTGTGGCTGCGATCATCGCAGTCGTGATTACGCGGTTCTGATGGGCGAGGCTGGACTGCAGCAGAGTTTGTGGAGACTTGGATGCGGGGCCGCCTCGGTCGAGGATGAGGTGAGGTCGGAATTGAGTGGTGTCTGAAGACACACGTTGGCGTGGGGTTGCTTTTTTTTTCTTTTTTCTCGGTTTTCCTTGTTTTTGATCTGCACGCTACAATAAGGCCGGGACGACAGGGAGAAAAGGTCTAAGCAAAAGGTAAAAGACTATGGTGACGAGGGCGGAAACTGGCAGGGTGATTCCCCATGAGGCTGCAATAGACATCAAGACTTTGTTGTTGATGGCTTTTCGGTCTCCGTTGGAAATACCGATGGCGACGATACATCCGATGAGGGTGTGGGTTGTGGACACGGGTAGACCGAGTTCCGAGGCGATGAGAACGGTCATTGCTGTGCTAAGTTCGACGGAAAATCCCATGGTCGGTCGCAGTTTGGTAATCTTTGTACCTACAGTCTCCATGACGGGCCTTCCGAATAAAGCGAGCCCAGTTGATATACCTAGCCCTCCCAAAACTAGCACCCACATGGGGATGCTGACCATGCTTCCGATGCGGCCGTTGTTGACCCACATTGAATACATGGCTGCGAACGGCCCAATGGCATTAGATACGTCATTTGAGCCGTGCGAAAAAGATAGCAAACAGGCGGTGACGACCTGTAGGACTTTGAATATGCGCTCTACGTCTTCCTGTTGCTCGACAACGGAAAGTTGGCCTCCGACCATACCTGCACCGGGGCCGCCACTACCACCGCCGCCGGCACCGGCACCGCTACCACTACTCGGGGATTGTGGAGCCAAGGTTCCATCGGTATTGACACCAAACTTGTTGGGTATGTACTGCTTGGAATGTACGGCGGTGGCCAAGGCGCCAGATATGCCAGCACAGGCCAGAGACAGTGCCAAGGCAATGTAAAGGACGTGGTCAGGAGTCAAAGCTGCGAAACGTGCGCCTTTGCCCAAGACGAAGAGGGTGAGAATAAAGGATGCAGCGCCTGCCAAAATGGGCAAAAACTTTCGGGTGGCAGCCGCGGGTCTCTTTGCGTTAATAATGGTGATAGAAATGAGCTTGTACAGGGATGTGGCGACAACGGCGCCAATGAGCGGGCTAAGAAACCAGCTAGCGACGATGCGCTGCACGGCGGCGTCGTTGATGCCCCAGCCGGAAACAATGGCGAGACCGATAAGCGCGCCGACGACCGAGTGCGTGGAGGAGACGGGTAGGCCGAAGTTGGTAGCGATGACCATCCATGCGGTGCAGCCGACGAGGACGGCGAGCATGCCGAGCATGTACGAGAGCGGGGCCGTGAGGGCGGCGGCGCCGACGGCGACGACGCCGGAGGAGATGGTCTTCGTGACGGTGCTGCCGAACAGGACGGCGCCGGCAAACTCCATGACCGCGCCGATGCACAGCGCGGTGGAGACGTTGATGGCGCCCGTGCCCACGGCGGTGCCCAG